CCCCAAGTCTTGCGGGCTAAGAGGTCCCTTGGCTTTTCCAACTCTCTCTTGCCCTGAGGTTCAGGAACAAATTGTATTAACTGATAGTCTCGGAGGAACCAGTCTCCCACCAGAGGAGTCTTGTTCTTTGTTCTTTTGGTGGAAATAACTTGATTTAAAGCAAACTTTGAGCTTCTTCAGGCCTCCATTACAGCAACCTCCCAAAATGCCGGAAAGGCATAGAGAAGATAAATCTTTTCCAAGATGTATCTTATTTCTTCACACCGATGGCAGTGGCAAATGAGAAAAAAAAAATTTTTTTAAAGCAATTTTATTAAAGGGAGTTTTAAATCCGGCGCAGACTTTTTCTTTTCTAGTGGCAACAATTTCAGCTAACTGCTGCAGTGAGTTAAATACTAAAGGTAATGTGTGTAACAAGACAAGATGCAGTAACGGGCTTATACTTCAAACTCTAAGAAGATGTAAAAAGATGCACAATTTTACCTTTTTAATTATAAATAAGCTTAGACTTGTTTTTCCCTTTTTCAGGGCAGACTACTGGAAGTCGCAACCAAAGAAATTCTGTGATTACTGCAAGTGTTGGATAGCGGACAATAGGCCTGTATGATATTTCCACTCTTAGAGAGTTTAATAATATTGTATTCCTGTGTTTCTTTTTGATCTAAACTCAGTATTTACGAAGCACTTTCATATACATTGTTCTTGATTTTTCAAAGCATTGAAAGATTTCTGTTGTCTTTTCATTTCTTGAAGGAAAGCCGTGAGCCTTCTTCCTTTTCATCAGCTTAAATTTGATTATATATTAAGCCAAATTATTTCTCTATGGTCTTTCAGTCATATTCAGAAAATGGACATTGAGTGGGTCATCTCATCCATGTTTATCCACATTATGATGTTTAATACTACCATATAAAAAGAAACATAAAAGGGCAAAGCCCTTAATATGTAAAAAGGAGCATTGTAGTTTATTTTGAATCTTTTCTACTCCAGAAATAAACATATTTGCAGAGCTTTGTAGCTATAAATGGTTAAATTTTAAAGAACATCATTACCTCTTTCATGGAATATGAAAATAGAAGCTCTATTAAGCACCTTATTACTGTATCTCTTAACCTAGATTAAGCTTTTAAGACACAAAAGCATCACTGATTTTTTCCCCTTTGTGTGCATGTCATAATAATATATACATAGTACGTAAACACCTGGGTATCTTTTAAATATATATTCCTATCCTTTTTAGTTGATAGAGTTGCATGCGTAACAGAACAGTGGCCCCATTTTTAACAATGTTACACTTCTTTGATAGACTTTTATTTACTACTGTCTACAGGAGTTTGGGGATATTTTTCTCCAGGGTTTTGTTTTGGTTTTTGGTCTTTTGAATAGTTGCTAAAGCTCTCAACTATCTTGCTTAACTTAGGCCATCCTTACACATAAATGCCACAAATTTTGAAATCTATACAAATCACTGATAGTTTCTCTTCTGTTGAGGTACCCAGTCAGTTCAGTGAATTTTAGGAGTCATGAACAGTAAATAATCTCTTCTATGATAGTCTTTCTTCTCCTTGGATTGTTAATATACATCAACTTAACCTTTAATTAGAAACAAAATTATTTTGTTTTCGAGTGGGCCTTGAATATTCTTTGTGTGGCATAATTTAGGAAACCTGATATATGAAAAATAGGTGAACCTTTGTTTTACAATGTCTCACTTTAAAGAGGAATTCATGGTAGTACTTTAGGATAGCTTAGCTAAGATTTGATTGACAAAATTTATTTTGCAAGGTTTACCAGAAATTTCTTATTGCATAAAACCAGACATTTGCAATTTAGGGAGCATTCCTGACTGTTTTAAATAGGTGATAACATTCACTCACTCCTTTGTCCCATCCAGTCACCATCATTTTTTGTAAGTTACCACTTTTTTTCATTTTCTTGTCCATTCTTCATTGTTTCTATATGCACACATAGGTTTTAATTCCAACATATGTAAAACGTAGCATACCATACACACTATCCTTCACCATAGTTTGGTATTTGTTTGTTTGTTTTTTAAATTGAACAGTATGTCCTGGAGCTCTCTTCACATCAGTACGTAGGGAGCTTTGTTCTCAATTCCAGCAGCCAAATTTTGGTAGATAGTGCCAAACTGTCCTCCATTGGAGTTGTACATTTCATACCATTACCACAGTGTATAAAAGTTACTTGTTTATGATTTAGAAGGAATTCCTTACTGTCTACTTTTCTCTCAATTTGGAGGAATAAGTTCTAATATTATTGTTTATTCTCTGTGTTTCCAGAGCAGTACAAATTCTAGAGACTTAATGGTTTTAACATTTTATGTTGAGAGGTGTTTCTTGAAGTTTTTTTTTTTTTCCACTCCTCTTTTGGCTTCATGTCTTGTTTGAGTCCTCGTTACAATCATATTCACTAGATTAGTCATCACGGGTACCTTGTATTTTTCTCCATTGATTCGGTCATCATAGTTTATTTTAAGCACCAAAGGAAACCTAGTCAGAGGATATAATAATAAATAACATGGTTCAGTTCCCTCCCATCATTTGATAAAAGGACCAATTTGCATTAAAATTATTTTTCTGTCCATCATTTTAATTTCAATTTTGTTATGTCCCATTCCCATATTTACTATTACTTTACTATGAACATTATGATGTTGATGTAACCTTCTTTTGCATTTTCTCTTTTATTAATTTTCAAGAGTGTTGAATTTCACGAAAGAGGAAAGAATCATAAGGAAAATGTGGCAAAGAGGATCAGTGAGGTAATTTAGTTTATTTCTTTCTTTGCCAATTTTTCTATGTAAGTATCAGTCCTTTATCTGGCTTTCAATTTTATATGTGTCTCACATAGATTAAACAGAAAAGCCTGGACAAGGCAAAGGAAGAAGAAAAGGCATCAAAGGAGTTTGCCGCAATGGAGGCAGCTGCCCTGAAAGCATACCAAGAGGATTTGAAAAGGCTTGGCTTAGAGTCAGGTAAAAAAGCAGCCAGCATGTTTTAAAACTAACATCAGAGGTCATGCTCATTGAGCTGTTATTGTTTCCATAAAGAGGTTATACACTCAGGGTATACTCTTAGTGCTTTTCCTGTGCATCATAGCTGTATTTAGACTATGGGACTTTGCTCATGCACTTTTGTTTTACTTTTAAAGCTTCATCTTTTAACACCTCCGTTCATAACCATACTACCTTGGTGGTTAGCTAGTCCTAGTTCTGTCCTAGGTCAGTGTTCATTTCAGGCACAGTTGAGTTTTTTAGGTACTTGGCTAAAAAGAGCCATTCATTAAAAAATAGGCCTTGCATTATAACCACAGTTTGCTTTATCCATATGGTCAAAACTATGAATTATGTTTGTTTATGTGGTTGAGTTAGAGTGAATTAGTCTGTTGTGGACAAGTTTACTGATTTTACCACTAGAAGGTAGATAATTTTTTTTTAATTGGATACATTTGACATAAAACATTGTTTATGCAGGTGTTACTTTGATACATTTATATATTGTAATGGGATTGCTACTGAAGCAACATTTATCAGATTACCTATTACAGTATTGTTGTCTATATTATACTATGCATTCAATCTCTGTGGCTTATGTACTACTCATTGCAAGTTTATAAACTTAAACAGTATCAGCCTTAACCCCCCAACCCCCTGTCCCCTGGAAATAACAGTTTTACTTTCTGGTTTTCTGAGTTTGACTCTTTTAGATTCCACATAAAAGTGATATCATAACAGTATGCTTGTCTTCTCTTTAACTTACCTCACTTATCACAATATGCTCAGGTTCCATCCATGTTGTTGCAAATGGCAAGATATCCTCCTGTCTCATAGCTGAATAGTATCCCATTATATATATGTACTATATCTTTTTTATCCATTCATCTGGTTGATGGGCATTAAGGTTGTTTACATATCTTGGCTGTTATGAGTAATACTGCAGTAGGTATGGGAATGCGTATATCTCTTTGAAATCCTGCTTATATTTCCAGTGAGTATATACCCAGAAATGAAATTGCTGGGTCATACGGTAGACCTATTTTTAATTTTTTGAGGAGCCTCCATAAGTTCTCCATAGTGGTTGGACCAGTTTATTTTGGTACCAATTGTTTTAGGATAAGTTTTTAACATCTGGTAGAACTAGATTCCCCTTATCACTTCTGTTTTATAATTCTGGATATTTGTCAGTTTACATACACCAGCAGTATATAAGCATTTCCTTTTTTCCACATGGTCACCAGCAAGAAGGTAAATAATTAGCGGGTTTAAAGATAACTCAGCTCCAGATAAAAGGCATTTATTTAATTAGAGTGTATCTATCTTGTTGATGAACTTAGGCTTTAACTCGGGAACTTTTCTGTCAGCATTTCTTCCATGACAAATCCATTGTCTTTAAACCAGGCATATAGCAGTCCCAGTTGTTGATCTTGCATAATGGTTGAGATAGTCAACATGGAATGATATTCTTTACTCTAAAAACTTCTTTCCATTAAGTTTTTAAGCAGAATAATAAGTTAATCAGTATTGCCCTCATCAAATAAGGACAGATGTAACCAGACTTTAAAAATATTCTCCTGGACATTGTTAGTTAAAAGGAAGGGGTGGGGGCTGTATTTCCATGAGGATAAAGCTGTAAGCTTAAAGGAGAAAAAGATAGAGGTGTTCCTGCAGAATTAAAGAGGCATCGTTGAAAATTCATCTCATCAATTATATGGATTGAGAGGTTTTGTTATGCTAACCTATGAGCAAATCAGTCTTAGCATTTTGTATTTAAATGTATTCAAAGAGGATTTTTCCTATTATTTTTCATAGCCTTGTTTTTTTAAATAGGATATACATTCCCCTTAAAGTACCATAATGCAGTACAAAGAAAGGATTTTTAAAAACTAACTGCTTCTAAAATTATCCCAGACATCTTAAGAATTTTCTTTTTTAAGTTATACTCCACGTTGTAGTCTAGTTGGAGGTGGTTTTATTTTTTCCCTCAACATGTCATATACTTCCTTTCTTTTAAATAATTAAGGATATACATCATGTTTAGTGGCTACAGAGTGGTTAGGAGCACAGACTTTGGAATCCACCAGAATTGCCACTTGCTAGCTATACAACCTCTGATTTTCACAAAAACTAAGTAACATAATGGTATAAACTGCTTATTACAGTGAGCACTTGTAATAAGTATTTAATAAAGGGTATAAAATACCATAACAAAATGCCATAAAAGTGCCATAACTTATTTAACTAATCTCTTCCAGACTAACATTTAGGTTGCTTAGTTTTCACTGTTAGAATGAATGCTTCAGTGAACCCCCTTATGCAGGCATGTTTTTTTACATTTATCTCTGTAAATTTAATCTCTAGAGATGAGATTGCAGAATCAAAGTGTGAATATGTTTTATATATTGATAGCTAATACAAGCTGTCTTTGTACTTTTTGTCGATCTTCTGTTAGAATATTGGATTTATTTGTAAGGAATCTTTGTTATGAACATTAACCATGAGCCATGTTTGTTGTAAATATTTGTCTTTTTTTTTTTTTAGTTTTTAAAAATTTTTAATCCTATTATGATTAACATAGCATTACATTATTTGTTTTATTTTTTTGTTTTTATTTTTGCTATACGGAATATTTGGATTTGTATGCAGTTAATTTTAACGTTATTTTACTTTGTTGTTTTTTTTTTCACATATATCTTTGATCTGAAGTTTATATTGATGTCCAAACATGGGAGGGGCCATGGAGTGGAGAATAGCTTTACTTTGTTCCAAATAATTAACCAGTTAATCCAACATGATTTGTTAAATGATTTCTTTTTCTAATAAGCACCAGGAGTCTGAACACTGGGTGTTATACGCAAACAATGAATCATGGAACACTACATCAAAAACTAATGATGTAATGTATGGTGATTAACATAACATAATAATTAAAAAAAAAAAAGAAGCACCAGGAATCTACATTTGGGTCTGTTTACTCTTTGTTCTGTTTCATTCATATGTTTGCCTACTCCTGGATCAGTTTTACTTCTTTTTTTTGGTACCAATTGTTTTAGAATAAGTTTTAACATTTGATAGAACTAGATTCCCTTTATCACTTCTGTTTTATAATTCTAGATATTTGTGCATATTTAGTTTTCCAAATGAGCTTTCTTATAATTTGTCAAGTTCCCAAAAGAATGTTCTTGTCAAGCTTTTGATTGGAGTAACATTATTAGTGTTTTTATACCAGGAAAAAAAAAAGTGTGTTGGTACTTCACCTTTCTTATATCTTTTTCTCTAGAAATTTCAGAGCCAAGCATATCACCAGTAACAAGCACTGTCCCACCCACCCCTGCATCAAATCAGCAGAAGGAAAAGAAGAAAAAGAAAAAAGACCCCTCAAAGGGCAGATGGGTAGAAGGCATAACCTCTGAGGGTTACCATTACTATTATGATCTTATCACCGGAGGTAGGTCATTTAGGCATAGAACTAGTAAGAATGATAACTGACCATTTATTTTGTTTTAGTTAATATTGGAACATTTAAGCAATGGAAGACTATAACTTTATATCTTTGCCACAATGGTAAAAAAGTCATGTGCCCTTTAAAAAGGTACCTTTCTTATAGTGACTCAATATCATACTTAGTCAGAGCCTTAAGAATGGGTTCCTTATGGGGCACCTGGGTGGCTCAGTCAGTTAAGCATCTGTCTTCGGCTCAGGTCATGATCTCAGGGTCCTGGGATCAAGTCCCATAGAGGCTGGCGTCTTGCTCCCTGGTCAGCGGTGAGTCTGCTTCTCTTTCTCCCTCTGTCTCCCTCACCCCTGCCTCCCCTCTTGTGCTCTCGCTCACTCGCTCTCAAATAAAAATTTTTTTTTTTTTAAGAATGGGTTCCTTACAAATAAGTTAAAGCTTTGTATTTTCTCAATAAAATCTTTTAAAAGTATGAACTACATGGAAATTAAGCATTTTACATGGAAATGAGACATTTTAGATCCACTTTACAAATTGCAGAGGTTCTTAAAATATTCTGCGGGAGAGATTTTCTATCCAAAACCATGCTGGGAACCAGAACCATTTTCTTTTTTATGTAGCTGTCTTGTAGTAGAGAAGACCCCCCTCCTATTCATGTTTTGGATATCACTTTCTAATAAAATACACAATGGTGTTATCCAGTGGGAATATCAAAAATATCTTTTTGTTTTCCTTTAAAACTAAATGTATTAGGGATTTTTTCATATAAATTCTGAGATAAGTAAATACATTTATGTAGCATCTTACTCTCCAGAAATATAAAATTTAAGATCAGAAATAAACACTATACAAGGAGGAGTTTTAAAGTGCTATAATGTAATAGAGATGTAAAATCGTATAGGAACTCCGATTGGTGAGGGATTAATTGTGATTATGTGGATCTGAGAGATTATCGCAGAAATTACTTTTGAACTGATCTATACATTAAGAGGAGAACATCAGGAATGATGTCTTCTTATTCACCATTTATATCCCTAGCACCAAACACAGTGCCTGGCATAGTGTAGACACTTTATACGTATTTTGATTGAAAATGATTGTAGTAGGTTATTGTGAGGGTGAAGCAAACATTCCAAACAGGTGGAACAATATGAAGCTTTAAAAAGTTTGAAAGTTTGGGAAACAGTCATCTGGTGGAGGTAAAATATACAGTTCTCTGAAGATGTCCTAGCAGAAGAAAGAGGCTGGAAAAATAGATTGGGGCTGTGTCATGGAGGGCTAGGAGGATGATCGTGCCATTTACTGAGGTATGGAATACAGAAATAGAGTAAGTTAAAGTGGGACAATAATAAATTCAGTTTTTGGTATGTTGAGGTTGAGGTACCTCTAGAACATTCATGTGGTAGTTTTCAGTAGCTGATTAGAGTCTGGAATTAGATAAATTATGTCTAGAAATGTAGATACTATCTTAACTTTCAGGAGTATATGAGATCACAAGGAGAAAGAAGAGAACGAGAAGTATGAAGGGTGGGTAGTACATTTATTGAAGGAAAGGAGAGAAAAGCCAGGAAAAAAAAGAATGATCAGAAAGGTAGGAAATGAGATCAGAGTTAATTATGAAAAAAACCTTGGGCTCTAAGTATTGTAATTATTATGATTTTTAGAATAACAGTTTAAGACTACATAGAAATAGTAATAATCACTCACAGTTTGCACTGAGCCTTAAGAGAAGTGTGTGTTAGTCAGCAGTGAACCACAAATGATTATATGCTAAGGATCATAAGTCTTTCTCAAATTTACATAGAAACTGTTTATTAATGGGGCACCTGGGTGGCTCAGTTGGTTAAGCATCCGACTCTTGATTTCAGCACAGGTCATGATCTCAGGGTTGTGGAATCGAGCCCCATGCCGGGCTCCTGGCTCAGTGTGGAGTCTGCTTGAGATTCTCTCTCTCTCCTGCTCCCTCTGCATCTCACCCCCCATGCTCTCTCTTTTCCTCCCTTTTTCTTTTCTTTTTTTTTTTAAGATTTTATTTATTTATTTGAGAGACAGCACAAGCCGGGGGGGAGCATCAGGCAGAGGGAGAAGCAGACTCCCCGCTGAGCAGGGAGCCCACTGAGGGGCTCAATCCCAAGACCCTGAGACCATGACCTGAGCCAAAGGCAGACGCTTAAGCAACTGAGCCACCCAGGCGCCCCTTCCTCCCTCTTTCTAAAATAAATAAGTAAATAAAGTCTTTTTTAAAAAAGATTTTTTTTAAAACTATTAATTCTGTGTTTCTGCCTTCTAATTCCTGTTGCTTGCTTCCTTTGTTCACCATCCTACTGTGTATACTCTTGCTCTCAGCAAAACCCTTGAACAACACAGGTGTTAGGGGCACCGACCCCTCCGTACCCCATGTGGTCGAAAATGTGCTTATAACTTTTTTTTCAAGTATAGTTGATATACAGTGTTATATCAGTTTCAGGTATACAACATAGTGATTTGACAGTTCTGTACATTAACCCATGCTCACCACAAGTGTAGTCACCATCCAACACTATTGCAATTTTATTGACTGTATTCCCTCTCTTGTCCTTTTCTTCATCTCCATGGCTTATTTATTTTATAACCAGAAGTTTAAACCTGTTCATCCCCTTCACCTATTCCACCTGTCCCCCCATCCACCTCCTTTCTGGCAACCAGCAGTTCTCAATATTTAAGAGTCTGGTTATATTTGTTTTGTTTTGTTTTTTAGACTGTACATGCAAGTGAAATCATATGGTATTTGTCTTTCTCTGTTTGATCTATATCACTTAGCATAATACCCTCTAGGTTCATCCATGCTGTCAGAAATGGCAAGATTTTATTGTTTATGGCTGAGTAATTGTGTGTGTGTGTGTGTGTGTGTGTGAGAAAGAGGGAGAGAGCTATGTATCTCACATTTTTAGCCACTCATCTATCAGTGAGCACTTGGGTTGCTTCTGTGTGCTGTCTATATATAATGATAGATGTTATTATAATATATAAGTAATGCTGCAATAAACATAGGGGTGCATTTATCTTTTCAAGTTAGTGTTTTCATTTTCTTTGAGTATATGCCCGTATACTGGGAATTACTGGATCATTGGTATTTTATAACTTTTGACTCCCCAAAAACTTAGCTAGTAATAGCCTACTGTTGACTGGAAGCCTTACAGATGACATAAACAGTTGACACACACATTTTGTGTGTTATATGTATTACACACTGTATTTTTACAGTAATACCTTTTTCTTAAATTTTTCAGTATTTCTAGACTACATGGTTCATCTGTTTTTTTAAACTCACAATTCTCTCAAAAAATTTCCAATATATATATTTTTAAAAATCTGCTTAAAAGTGGACCTGCACAGTTCAAACCTGTGTTGTTCAAGGGTCAGCTGTTTTTTAATTCTTGAGTCTTTCATCTTGCTTCTCTTAAGTCATTCATTCTATCTCTCACTTTCCCCTCCTCAGGATGTCAAACAGCCATCTCATTCCTTCAGAACTCACCAAGCCTGGGGCACCTGGTTGTCTCATCCGGAAAAGCACATGACTTTTAATCTTGGGGTCATGAGTTTGAGCCCTGTGTTGGGTGTAGAGATTACTAAAAAAAAAAAATAGTATAATAAGCTTTTAAAAACTTTTAAAGCCTGGGGGCACCTGGGTGCCTCAGTCAGTTGAGCATCCAACTCTTCGTTTTGGCTCAGGTCGTCATTTCATGGGTTGTGGGATCAAGACCCACGTCATGCTCCATGATCTCCAGGAAATCTGCTTAGGGTTCTCTCCCTCTACCCTGCCTCCCATGCGCACAGGGGCACACACTCACTTGCGTGTGCTCGCTCTCAAATAAATAAATCTTTAAAACAAACAAAAAAACTTCAAGCCTGAATTCCATGAAGTCTTTAAGAGAAGTCCTACCTGTGTCTAATAATTCTTGTGGAAGTCCCAGTAACTTCGAATCCTTCATTCTGTTCTTCCTTCTTGGTTAAATATCATTCACATATGTTCTGTACAATACCACTGGGATATGTACTGTTTTTTTTCATTTTTCAAAGGCCTGTAGTGCTTTGTACACATTGAATGTCTTGTAAATTTTTGCCAAATTAAATTTTTTGAGTTGTTTTTCTTTTCAAGTGAAAAAATTTTATTAATGAAGTATATTTTGCTTTAAGCATCCCAGTGGGAGAGACCAGAAGGATTTCAAGGAAACTTAAAAAAGGTAACTGAAGCACATTGATAGTGTCTTTGCTTTAAACTGATTGGTTTCTGGGGTTTTTATAAAAGAGTTCTGTTAAGCAAATTTACTTCCAAATAAGCCCCCCTACACACACTTTGTTCTTTTCTTCCTATAATGCTTTTGTGAGGAGGTTGGGTGGAAGTGGAAAAGTGGTATCTACATAAAAACTCCATGCAGGGCAAATATTATCAGTTGATTTATAGTTGGTTGCCATTCAGATGTCCTTGTCCATCGGCCGAGAATTGCTCCTATCTTTCAGAGGTGTGACATTCTCTCTCTGAAAGTTAGTTCATGATTAACACAAACCAAGCTTCCATAATCAGTACTGCCCCTCTCACTCCCAGGTGTTCAGAGGAAAGGGAAGGTAGCTGACTCTGCCTTAGTTATTTTAATAGAGTGTAACTTCATCATTATCTTCAGTTTATGCTGTTTTTTTCCTCCCATTAGACAGCAGGGAAGACTGTTTGGGTAGAAGGAGTAAGTGAAGATGGTTATACCTACTATTATAATATAGAAACAGGAGGTAAGTACTACCTTTGATTATCCTAACTATATAAAATTGTACCTCGAACTGCTTATTAGCCTGCTAATGAAGGGAACTTGGGAATTTTAGTATAGTGATCAACATATATTCATAGCATGTGGGTATTTTGTAATTTAAAAACTATACAGTGGAAAAGCAGGAAGATTTTCGTATATAATATACTGTGCTGCTCATTCTCAATTGATACTCCATTCACAAATTTTAAAAATCATTTTTACTTTATCATTATTGACTTTTGTTATGATTATTGTAGAAATATAATCATTACCTTGAAACGTACCTTAGAAATCACCTAATTCAACTTGCCTTTTCCTTTTCTAAAAAACAAAACTGAAGTTATTTTAGCAGTGGCTGAGATTGTCAAATTTTCACTTTTACTAATTTAATAATGTTTCAGTTATTTGTAAATATTTATAAAACATGCATAACTATTGTTACCTAATTATTACCTAAGTTTTTCAAGTTGACATTTTTTCTAATTTAATTTTATAAAATGGATCAGCAAGTAATTGTAGTTTCTCCTACAATTAAATTTACCAAAGTATGTATGGTGTCAGTATAACTTTGAGAGGCTTTATTTAATTATTTATTAAATTTCTACTATCCAAACACATAGCATTAAATCTTTTAGGAGGAAAAAGCCCTTTTAGCCTCCAAGTAGATACCTAGTCTGCCCAACGATAGTAATGGTTCTAGCTCAGTAAAATTGAGGTACTGAAAGTTTCTAAAGATAAAATAATATAGTTATATAGGTGGAGAGTTGGATCTGAGCTTAATGCATAGCTTCTTCCCTTACCAGCTATATAAAAGTCACTAAACCTGGGGGCGCCTGGGTGGCTCAGTCGTTAAGCGTCTGCCTTCGGCTCAGGTCATGATCTCAGGGTCCTGGGATCGAGCCCTGCATCGGGCTCCCTGCTCGGAGGGAAGCCTGCTTCTCCCTCTCCCACTCCCCCTGCTTGTGTTCCCTCTCTCGCTGTGTCTCTCTCTGTCAAAATAAATAAATCTTTAAAAAAAAAAAAATTCCTTCAAAAAAAAAAGTCACTAAACATGTAGCTGCTCTTATGTAAAATTGAGGTGATCATGTATATTCTCGGGTCATGAAGGTCAGGTATCTATAAAGTTCCCAGAACAATACCTGATACATAGTAGGTGCTTAAATTATTTCCTGAAAGTTTTTTTGTTATTCATGTGAAATATGCATAAGGAAATAATGTGGTTTTTTTTTTTTTATTGTTGGAAAGCACCCTTTTTTTTTTTTTTTTAAGATTTTATTTTTGGGGCGCCTGGGTGGCTCACTTGTTAAGCATCTGCCTTCGGCTCAGGTCATGATCGCAGAGTCCTGGGATCAAGCCCCACATCAGGCTCCCTGCTCAGTGGGAAGCCTGCTTCTCCCTCTCTCACTCCCCCTGCTTGTGTTCCCTCTGTCAAATAAATAAATAAAATCTTAAGTAATCGCTACACCCAGTGTGGGGCTCAAACTTACAACCCTGAGATCAAGAGTCGCATGCTCCATTGACTGAGCCAGCCAGGCGCCCTGGAAAGCACCCTCTTTTAATAAGAGGCTGTACAAATTGATTTGTCCTCAAACAGTTTCAGCTTATGTGTAGACAAGTATAATTATTGATACAGCCCCTTTCGCTCTTAAAACTGTCTCAGTTGGACAGTAAATCTTAGCATCCCCTTCCCTTTTATTACACTAAAAATAGAGACTAATTGCAAGATAATTAGAAATGCTAACATGGGGCGCCTGGGTGGCTCAGTCATTAAGCGTCTGCCTTCGGCAGGTCATGATCCCAGGGTCCTGGGATCGAGCCCCGCATAGGGCTCGCTGCTCAGCGGGAAGCCTGCTTCTCCCTCTTCCGCTCCCCCTGCTTGTACAAGTTCCCTCTCTTGCTGTGTCTCTGTCAGATAAATAAAATCTTTAAAAAAAAAAAAAAAGAAAGAAATGCTATCATTTTACTAAAAGCCCAATAAACCACTGGATGGCAGTAGAGTTCAATGGAGATTATTTTTTTCTTAGTATAAAAATGACAAATTACATTCATTCAGGTCTTCACAGTATGGTATCACTCTGTGAGGATCCCAGGAAATCTTTGTGATAAATTCCAGGAAATCTGATGTGTGCTCATAAGCACATGTTTCCTGATACTGGTGTCAGATAAAGTGTGACAGTCCTTAGAAGGCATTGCCCAATTCTTAAGTTTCTTTCTACTGGGGCTGTAGTTTATACATCTGGAATCCAGATTGAAACCCAACTCTCAAAAGATAAAAGAGCAAGGGCTTTGGGAACTCTTACTTATTCTTGATCAAGTGATAGTGTAAAATAGATCCAGTGCTGTTGTTTAATGTATTATGAAGAAGTTAAAAAAATAATACATTTGTAAGTGACAGGGAGTGTTATATTGGGAATTACTTCTGAATAGAGTTGGTAACTAAATAACATGACTATTAAAATGTGTTGAATAGAATCCAGATGGGAAAAACCTGATGATTTCATTCCACACTCTGGCGATCTGCTTTCTAGTAAGGTCAATGAAAAGCCACTTGGTACCCTAGAAGAGTCTAAATCATCAGATTCTCATAGTGATTCTGATGGGGAAGAGGAAGCAGAAAAAGGAAAGGCCTCTACAGAAACACAAAAGCCAAAAATAAAGTTTAAGGTAGGTTCTTGATTTATTCTTTACAGAACTTTACCAATTTATAGAAAGCTCAACAGACTTACTCAGTTATCTGGTGGAAGATAGAAATAAAGCCAAGACGTACATTTTTAGCAAATGGATAAACAGTTGTACCACTTATTAGTATCTACCTGGTGGCAAGACAGTGAGTTCATTTTTAGACCTCTTAAGTTTGAGATCCCTCCGTAATATCTAGAGAGTTGTCTGAACACACAAGTCTGAGTATCTAGATCTAGCTAGAGATCCTATTTTTGAGTATCATCAGCATACTGGTAGTAATTCAAATCTCAGAATGGGTGAGATAACCTAGGAAAATGACTTTGGGCAACATTAAACATTGAAGAGACAGACAGGGAAAGAGGAGCCTGTAATGAAAAGAGTGACTAGAAAGGTATGTAGAGAAGCAGAAGAATTTAAGATCCAAGAAGCCAAAGGAATAGAGAGCATCAAGGATTAATTATAGATCTAGAACAAAAAAAAAGTCCATTGAATTTTACAGTTAAAAAGTCCTTGAAGCCCTTCTAGTAGTTTCACCAGGGTTTGGGGTGGCAGAACTCCAATTATATTGTACATCTGAAACTAATATTAGACTGTATGTTAATTAACTGGAATATGAATAAAAACTTTAAAAAATAAATGGACGCCTGGGTGGCTCAGTCAGTTAAGCATCTACCTTCAGCTCAGGTCATGATCCCGGGGTCCTGGGATCGAGCCCCGCGTCGGACTCCCTGCTCAGCAGGAATCCTGTTTCTCCCTCTCCCACTCCCCCTGCTTGTGTTCCCTCTCTCGCTGTCTCTCTCTGTCAAATAAATAAAAATTTTAAAAGCATCTTAAGAAAGAAAAAACCCCAATTATAGAGGAATGAAAAGTGGTTCATGGTGTGTATGTGGTTTGGATATGAAATGAAAACTAGAAATTGGTTGTCAGGATGATGGCTGCACATTGACTCTTAATCATGAGAGATTTGTGGTAGTGATGTTTTCATTAAGAGAGACTCCAAAGGAGGCAGAATGGGAATACCAACAAGGGTAGGTGGATAGGTTGGTCTTCAACAAGGAATAAAGTCATTTTTGGTAAGAAGGTAAGGTTTTCCTTTTTTATAAGAAGGTAGGACTATGGATAAGTTGGTATCAGGGAGGAAATTGAAACAGTCATGCCCTTTTAGCTTCAGTTTACTCATTTATAAAGACATCAAGATTGCTTGCTGAGAGTGAGAAGCTTTGAGTAGTTTGACAATATTAATGAATTGAAACAGTCACTGAGCTAGGGTGGGAGAGGAAATGAACCAAGTAAAAGGATTGACAGGTACTGCTGAATCCCCAGCCATGGTAGAAAAGTAAAATTAGATATTTCTATAGCATTGCTAGTCCTGCTTTGTGATCATTCCAGGAACACTCAGGAGCCCAGGTGGCAAAGCAGAAAAGACACATAGCATTGATCCATGGATGACATTACTGGCCTGAGTAGTGAAGGAAATTCAAGGATGCTGGAGAGAGGGTACTCCCAGGCCACATCTAGGATCTTGTCGTTGCCTGGACTTTCTCTACTACCCTGTAATTCTTGGTGGAACGCAGGCCAAGGGATGTGTCCAGTTTGCAGAGGCGCAGCAGCAAAGCCCTTATAGTAGCCGTCTCACAGTGTTTATATTTCTGTGTTGCTGTTCTTTTATTTTCTTTTTTGAGATTTTCTTTTTAAGTAATATCTTCTTTTTTTTTTTTAAGTAAACCCAACATGGGGGCTTGGACTCAAAACCCTGAGATCAAGAGTCACATGCTCCACGGACTGAGGCAGCCAGGCACCCCCACCTCACAGTGTTTATATCCAGCATCCAACCTGGACTGATAAATTTCAAGCAGATAAAATATTACAAAATACAGATAAAGACAGACTACCTATAACCCTGCTACTTCCCAGAGAAATCACTATAACACCTTGGTGTTTTCTTGGTCTTTAACTTTTTTTTTATTCCGACTGGCATACATTATTTTAAAATATGGAGTCATACTGGGGGCATCTGGGTGGCTCAGTCGGTTGGGCATCTGCCTTCAGCTCAGGTCATGATCCCAGGGTCTTGGAATTAGCCCTGCATCAGGCTCCCTGCTTAGCGGGGAGAGCCTGCTCCTCCCTCTCCCTCTGCTCCAATCCCCCACTTGTGCGCATGCTCTCTCTCTCCTTCAAATAAATAAATAAAATCTTTAAAATAAAATAAAACATGGAGTCATACTATAATAAGGTCTTAATTGCTTTACAGTTTAATCTGTCACAAAGACATCAATAAGTCTTCATCCACCAAAATAACGGATAGATAGCTTTAATGTGGTATGAATACACCATTATTTACTCAGCCGTTTGTAGCTGAATATTTCTTTTTAATAACCGCTGAGGACTAAGGGAAGAAATACCTGGAGACACATTTCTAAGCAGTGTTAAAGTCTCTGCTGACACTGGATATCATAAACCTTGAAGTCTTACCAGTTTGTATGGTTGTGTGATTTTTTTTTAATTCTAGTACACTTAACATACAGTGTAATATTAGTTTCAGGTGTATAGTGTAGTGACTCAACAATTCCGTACATCACCCGATGCTTATCACAACAAGCGCACTCCTTAATCCCCATCACCTATTTCACCCATTCCCCTACCCACCTCCCCTCTGGTAACTCTCAGTTTGTTCTCTATAGTAAAGAGTCTGTTTCTTGGTTTATCTCTCTCTCTCTTTTTTTTCCTTTTGCTTGTTTGTTTTGTTTCTTAAATTCCACACAGGTGAAATCATATGGTATTTATCTTTCTCTGATTTATTTCACTTAACATTATACTCTAGTTCCATCAATGTCATTGCAGATGGCAAGCTTTCATTCCTTTTTTTACGGCTGAATAATCTGTTGTATATACATATGCCATATATTTATTCATCTATCTCGATGAGCACTTGGGCTGCTTCCATAGTTTGGCTATTGTAAATAATGCTGCAATAAACATAGCAGTTTGGCTTCCATAGTCTGCTTAGGGGTTTGACTTCCATAGTTTTGCTTCCAGTGTTTGGCTATTGTAAATAATTCTGCAATAAACATTATTTCTTGTAGTTTTGATTTGCATTTCCCTGATGATCAGTGATACTGAGTATCTTTTCATGTGTTGGTCATCTGTATGTCTTTGCAAAAATGTCTGTTCATGTCTTCTGCCCATTTAATTGGATTCTTTGTTGTTTGGGTGTTAGTTTGTATAATTTTTTTTATATTTTAGATACTAACCCTTTATTGGCTATGTCATTTGCAAAATCTCTTCTCCCATTCAATAGGTGGCCTTTTAGTTTTGTTGATTGTTTCCTTTACTGTGCAGAAGCTTTTTATTTTGATGTAGTTCCAGTAGTTTATTTTTGCTTTTATTTCCCTTCCTTCAGGAGACCTATCTAGAAAAATGTTGCTACAGCCAATGTTAGAGACCTTACTTACCTCTGCTTTCTTCTAGGATTTATGGTTTCAGATCTCACATTTAGGTCTTTAATCCATTCTGAATTTATTTGTGTGTATGATATAAGAAAGTGGTCCAGTTTCATTCTTTTGCATATAGCTGTCCAGTTTTCCCAATACCATTTGTTGAGGATGATCTTTTTCCTGTTGTATATTCTTTCCTGTTTTTTTTTTTAATTTTTTTTATTTATTTTAGAGAGAGAGTGAGAGAGAGAGAGCACAAGAGGGGGGAGCGGGAGAGGGAGAAGCAGACTCCCTGCTGAGCAGGGAGCCCGATGCGGGACTCGATCCCGGGAC